TCTTCAGCTGTTGGCTTCGTGGTCTGGTCCATGGCAGGAGTTCCGCTGGAGCGTCCTCCGATGAACGGCTGGCTATGAGTACAGTTTCGCCCAAAAAGGACTTTAGTTTGTTTAAATACTTGCAATTAGTAGGGTATGTGCAGGATCAGTCCCCTAGTAGGGCCCGCGGTCAACTGTATTTGTCATAAATGGGGTCATATTGACCTAATTGCTTGATTTGGGAGTTCTCACTTACTTGACTTTTAGCGTAAAATTTATTTGCTAGCTTCCTGACATGGTTGCGGAACGTCTCCATGCCAGTTTGCTCATGTAACATTTCGATTGACGTTACCCATGGGAGTTTCGTGATAATTCTTAGCACCTTGTTCTGAAAAACTTGGAGCTTACTGATGTGTGTTTTGGCCGCGTGTCCCCATGCAGGGGCTGCGTACGTTATTATTGGGCGTAGGAGTGTTTTATAGATTGTAAGTGCTAGGTTAATGTTGATGGAGGAGGACTTGTTAAGGATTGGATAGAGTTGTCTGAGCCTGTGGTTGGCTCTGCGCACTGCTTTACTTATGTGTGATCTGTAGGTGAGTTTGCGGTCCAGGATGACGCCAAGGTATTTGACTTCATTTACCCGGGGGATGGTTGCTCCAAAGATCTTCAGGGAAGATACTTCGCTGCGGAGGTGTGTCAGCCGTTTCGAGAATAATGCCACCGAGTATTTATTGACGTTAATCTTAATCCTCTATTTTTCAAACCAAGACTCGAAAGTTGTAATTGCTTTATTCAGTTTATTTGCCGCTAATTGTATGCTGCCTGATCGAGCAGTGATGCTCGTATCATCAGCGTAGATTGAGACGGCCACAATTTTGTCTTTTTCTAAGGGTGGTAAATTATTTATATAAATATTGAATAATACTGACCCTAACAGGCTGCCTTGGGGACTCCTGCCTGAATGGGACGCCGTGTAGATTCCGAATTTCCATGGACAACCGTGAAGACTTTGTTATTCAGGTAGTTGTGCATAATATGGATAAACTGTGCGGGAATTCCGGCCCTGATGAGTTTAGAAATGAGTCCGGTTGTCCACACCTTGTCGAAAGCTCTTTCAATGTCCAAAAAGAGGGCTAGTGTTGTTTTGTTATTGAATCCCAGGGTA